AGGGAAGGGGGGGCGGCGCTGCGGAAGAGCAGATTGCCTGTCATCTTCCCTTTACAAGCTTAAAGAATGTATTTATCGTGTGAGTTTCGAAATAAAAGTTTCATATTCTGAAAGCCAAGACTTTGTTTGTTTACAATCAAACAAAACACCCGCAAATCCACGTTTATTTTTAATTGAGCCGTTGCGACTTCTGACTGATTTCGATAGAGCGGGTCACATATGCAAAGTTATATTATTTGTAATTGTGTAAACACACAAAGGAAAACCTGAAAAAATATTCAACATGTATTCATGCTAAACTCATAAACACATTTAACTACTTTTAACAAAAAATGAACCTATAACTATATTTTATTAAAAGGTTTTCAGTATTCCTCAGTTGGCCAGTGACTTCTAGGACACACATTAAAAAGGATTTTTCCTTAAAGAAAAGGTAGGCTAGCTTCCTTGATTTATCTCAGAATCTTTCCAATTTTAGAAATACATGTATTGATATTTTGTGTGATTTTAGTGTCCATCAGTTATGGATATTTGTAGACGTTGTATACGGATTCAGAATCCCTGAGTTTAAGGTGATGACGTCACAGTGCCCTTCAGCAAGGGACTTAGTCAGTTGAATGTGTTTATGCAGATAAAAGAGCACAGTGGTACCTTCCACAGAGATGTCCTGGATGGCGAAGCGGAGGATGATGGTCCAGATCATTCCCAGGGTCATCTTGGCGTTTCCGTCCACGATCTCTGCACGACAAAACAGAAATGTGTCATATGGTTTTTGCTGCATCTAGACATCTGCATCTTTGGACCATACATCGTGTTTTTACAACCTTACTTAATAACGCCAACACACCCACACACCTGCACTAATGTCCCACAGCTGCCAGATATACAGAGCTTTTTTAAGTGACAAGCTTTCACAGTGATTTCATTCATAAAATAATTCAAAGAAAAGATTACAAATACACAGTGAATTGTTGAACACGTATAAGAGACACATATTTGTAGTTAATTATAAGTACTGACTTTGTGTGACACACACACACGTTAGTGAGAGGTATGTCGTGCGGGTCACATTCCTATCATAGTTCACACAGTTGTACTTTCACCAGCTTCATGTTCCCCTTCATCACGCTCACTGTCAGCTGTCACTGTCCCACATCGCTCTCATTCTATCAACATTCTTCATGTTCAATTACCATAATGACCTTAAGATTTCTTTAACAGGAGCCGTGTGTCAAGTTTTTAAACCATGATAAATAATGTTTTACATTTTTACGGTAAAACTTTTCTAAAATTATGTTTTTATTCATCGACTTGTTTGTCAACACTTGTTTATTAGCCTCCAAAAAGGCTTTACAACCATGTATTTGAACATTTTCCACTAGGGTTTAACACTGAGGTCCCTGAGGATCAAAAGTTTTGAAGAAAGAGAACATAGGAACGTGTCCTTTAAACTGTTTCTGTGGGAAGTCCTTCATTTTCAACTCGTCCCTGCCAAACATCCATTTACCCCTCTGCCATCTTTAATGTTGGCATTTCTGTCTCCAACGCTTTCCAGTAGATGACCTTTAGTGGGCCGCTTCTTTAGAAAGGGACTCACTGTGTGTGTGTGTGTGTGTGTGTGTGTGTGTGTGTGTGTGTGTGTGGGTGTGTGTGTGTGTGTGTGTGTGTGTGTGTNAGTCACCACGTTGAGTGGCCGTATGACTGGATTTGGAGCATCTAAAAGTGTGTACTGTATTTGAGTAAGGGTGTGTGTGTGTGTGTGTGTGTGTGTGTGTGTGTGTGTGTGTGTGGCACTCTGAGTTCAATGGTCAGCAGTATCAGTGGTGTCATGTAGCAGGAATTTCACGTTTGTTCTTATAGAGCAGGAGAGAGGTTAATTTGTTCTCTTCTGATGATCCATTTGCTTTAAGCCTGTACCCCTGTTAGTGTATGTAAACAGAAGGGCAGTTTGGTGCTGTGGAAACGGAATACTTGTTAAGCCAACACATCTTTAACTGTGTGGATAGCATCTCTTTAAGATCTGTCTTGCACCACTAGATACAACATGCACAGGTTTTGATTGTATGTCTTATGAACAATAAGAAGCTTAAGTCCTGGACTCTGACGGTTAAAGGGTGTTCCTCATGGGTCTGATTATGGCCACGCTCCAACACAGCTGTGGGACATCATGCAATTATGGGCTGTAATTAAGCATTGACGTCGATCAGTCTTAAGAAAGTTCCCTGCTACTGAAAAGCGGGCAGTTTTAAAACAATCTGTGGGTTGATAGTGACTTCAGGACATTCTTAGTACTAACTAATCTCTCTGACTTTCTAACTAAACATTTGAAAGTCAAACAGAGGCTCTGGTTTTGGGGCCTGTGTGTTCAGTGATCCATGCCCTAAGGTCATCTACTGTAGTGCAGATTCCACACTCAGGACCAAGTATGACATCTTGACTTGAGATCAGGTTTAAAAGGAGTGAGGTGGATGAATGAGTTTCAGGACTCATAACTACATTCATTGTGTCTCAGCACATCAACAATGGGCATTTTTAAGGGGCTTCTTTTCATGTTTGTATATGCGTGCATGAACACATGCTTACCCTCTGCTCCAATGGAGACCAGTTTCACTCCTTTTCCGGCGATGAAGTCCAAGGCTTTGTTCACGTTATTGATCTTGTGGACCCTCATCTTGCCTCGCTCAGGCTTGGCTAACCGTTCACCTGTGGACACACACACACACACACACACACACACACACACACACACACACACACACACACACACACACACACACACACACACACACACACACACACACACACACAGAAACAAACAGAAGGTGAGCGACGTAGCTCCTGTAGTGACGGAGGCAGCATGTTTCCACAAGCTCAGCACCACAACACTGTCAGACAGTTGAAGCTA